GGTTGCTTCTATGTTTGATTAGTTTCCATCCTTTGCTTCTTGTCCTGCCTTCAAGTGCTTTGGAGAATAGCTTGACTCCCTCTTCTTTGTGGCAGCCCCTGAGATATTGGAACACTGCTATCATGTCCCCCCTCGTCCTTCTCTTCATTAAACTAGACATACCCAATTCCAGCAGCCTTTCCTTATATGTTTTAGCCTCCAGTCCCCTAATCGTCTTTGTTGCTCTTCTCTGTACTCTTTCTAGAGTCTCAACATCTTTTTTACATCATGGTGACCAAAACTGGATGCAGTATTCCAACTGTGGCCTTACCAAAGCATTGTAAAGTGGTATCAACACTTCACGTGATCTTGATTCTATCCCTGTTAATGCAGCCTAGCACTGTGTTGGCTTTTTTGGCAGCTGCAGCACACTGCTGGCTCATATTTAAGTGATTGTCCACTGGGACTTCGAGATCCCTCTCACAGTTACTACTACTGAACAAGGTACCAACTATCCTATCCTATACCTGTGCGTTTGTTTTTTCTTGCTTAAATGTAGAAAATTACTTTTTTCACCATTGAATTTCATTTTGTTAGCTAGCACCCAATGTTCAAGTCTGTTAAGATCCTTCTGTATCTTAAGCCTGTCTTCTGGAGTGTTGGCTATTCCTGCCAGCTTTTGGTGTCGTCTGCAAATTTGATGAGTTCCCCATCTATCCCCCCATCCAAATCATTGAAGATGTTGGAGTACTGGCCCCAGAACAGAGCCCAGGGGCATCCCACTACACACTTCCCTCCATGACTTTGTTTGCCTCTAGGTGTTCGCTGATTTGTTGCTTGATCAGCGAACACGTAGAGGCAAACAGTCATTACCAAAAGCCAACATGGGTTTGTCAAAAACAGATCATGCCAGACAAATCTTATTGCATTCTTTGACCAGGTGACAAAATTAGTGGACCAGAGGAATGCTGTGGATATAATTTACTTGGACTTCAGTAAGGCAGAAGCTTCTTCAGCTCTGACTGGATGATGGGGAATGGAGTATAAATCCTTTCATTCCCAGCCATCCAGTGAGAGCTGAAGAAGCTTCTTGGATGAGAAGCGAAACGTCTTCAAGGAAAAACAAGTCCAGTTGCCTCTTGAAAAAAAGCATATTTGGGACAGGCAATGACAAAGTGCCTCTCCTTGGGGGATCGGTGAAGATTCTTCCAGCCAGTTTTGGGGTGCAGGATAACTCCTCAAATCCTACTGAGGGAAATTTGAAGAGTGAAGTTTAGCTTCACAAGATTAGCCAGGTGCTATGCCCTAAAACAGTGTTTTTCAACCTTGACAATTTTAAGGCATGTGGATTTCAACTCCCAGAATTCCACAGCCAGCATTGCTGGCTGTGGAATTCTGGGAGTTGAAGTCCACATGCCTTAAAATTGTCAAGGTTGAGAAACACTGCCCTAAAAGTTCATAAAGTTCTTATTTTTGTGCACAGCTCCTAAATTATGGTTACAGCACTGATGATGTCACCTAGTTTGGGTAATGAAACATCGTCAAGATAACAAGCACAGAGAACACCATGGACCCCCTCAGCCCCTAAATGATTGCCAACTTCATCCTATTAATAGAATAATGAAATATGGAAGAAAACCAAGTATCCACCGGCATTGCCTATGGATCACATCTAGATACAAGACTGATATGATCTTGCTATCTGTATTATTGAGGAGGCTAAATCTTGCTCCAAGGCAGAATTGCTCCAAGGAGCCTTCTCAATCTCCAGAGGAGTTAGATTTCAGCCTTATTATTCTCAAACAAGTTGATAAAGAGAGTTGAAAGAAACTAGTTTGCAGAAAACTGATTCAAAGATTCCTGTCTTTTCCAGTGGAGACTAAAACCTTTCTACATATCCCAAAACTTTATGATAAGATTTTCTGTGGCTCACGAGAGGAACCAGCTTGGGAGCATCAGCAGGCCAGAGGCTTCATTCGTGCTGGCCATGTTTATGTTTATTTAGATTTGTATACCGCCCTATCTCCCTTACGGGACTCAGGGCGGTGAACAGGCGATAATAAAATCACAATAAATATCTATTCTAGCCATGGCTGTATCCAAGCACACCCAATGTCCTGAAGCTGGTGCTCTCAGCAAGCCACCTTTGTTCCTGAATATTTTAAATCTCCTAGATAGAACATAGAATAACAGAGTTGGAAGGGACCTTGGAGGTCATTTAGTCAACCCCCTGCTCAAGCAGGAGAGGCTATATCATTTCAGACAAATGGCTGTCCGGTCTTTTCTTTCTAAGCCTCCAGTGATGAGGCACCACAATGCTAAATGCCATCTTCTTTAAATTCCCTTGCACAAAAGTCTCCACTAGGTCAAAGTGAGAGATACACATACTAGCAGGGAGTAAAAAAGAGGGCTTAGAACAGTGATGGCGAACCTTTTAGAGACCGAGTGCCCAAACTGCAACCCAAAACCCACTTATGCATCGTTGGGTGCCGGGTGGGTGTGGCCCATTGGCTGGGTGTGGCCCATTGGCTGGGTGTGGCCCATTGGCTGGGCGTGGCTGTGGTGGTAACGGCAGACTGGGTGGGACTAAAAAGTTCAATCAATCAATTCCAATTTTGCAAGATCTTTTTTTTCCCGCGAGAAGTTGAAATTGACTGATTGAATCTTTTTTTTTTAATACATAGCAGCGGAGGCCTAAAGCGAAAAGGTTTTATAAAACCCAGCTGAAGGCCTAGGACTGGGGGGACGGCACGCGTGCCCACAGAGAGGGCTCTGAGTGCCGCCTCTGGCACCCGTGCCATAGGTTCCCCACCACTGGCTTAGAAAGAAGGTGGGACTGTTTAAATTTGATAAAATACACTAATAAACTTTTCACAGAAACATTTTAAATGGTTGTAAAAAGGATAGGGTTAGCAAAGTTCTTCCTTTCCATTCCTTCTGTCCTAATATTTCATTTTATATCCCAAAAGATATCAGAATACCATAGTTACCAACAGTTTGCATTGTGGTATGGTTCTCTCAAAGATCCAGAGGCTTTTGAATCATTTCAAGCATTTTCATCTCTTAAATATATTATGTGATAATGGGTGCACCCCCCAAAAAATGGCATCAAAAGAGAGAAAATTAAATGTAATTTGATTCTTTTAAAATTTAAAAACTTTTGCACATGTTTAAATTTGAAACCACCTAGAGTTTCAAAAACCTCTTGGCTCCTCCTCACCCCTGGCCTGGTCCTGTAAAGAATTCATATGCAATGTTATCTACTGGGGGGGGGGGGGAAGTACTAACTATATATACCTGGTGAAATCAAATCAATTTTTTTATTATGCCAAAAGACCAGCGTAAGGATTTCTGGGTACATTTAATTAAAAATAAAATAATCTAAATAATTGTTAAAATAACATTTATTATAGAAAATGAAAAGATATAAAAGAGAATGCACATATAAAAACAGTTTAAATGGAATCTAAAAAAAACAGGAGATGTGTTTAGGGAACATAAACGTTATTATGTGGCAGATTAAAATCTATCACTGCCCAAAGCCTAGTAGGATAAGCTGAATACTTCTTGAGACTAATTTATGTTCACAAAAGGCAGGACAAACTTCCCAACCCTTTCCCTTCCTTAATTCCACCCCCCACCCCGTTTCCCTCAGAAAGCCACATTTTTTTACTTTAAGTCCTAACTGGACTTTATAGGCAGTCAAGACAGTTTAAGCTTGCAAAGACCCAGTGTCCTTCATTTTCTGGCACAACTTTTAGATTTTTTTTCTTTTAACTTCAAGAGAAAAAAGCTGGGGATTTTCTCTCCTTGTTGGCTTCATTCTTCCACTCTTTAGCCTGGAATCAAAGTAAAGTTTTTTTTAAAGAAAGGATATTGTTTAGAGCAGTGTTTCTCAACCTTGACAATTTTAAGGCATGTGGACTTCAACTCCCAGAATTCCACAGCCAGCAATGCTGGCTGTAGAATTCTGGGAGTTGAAGTCCACATGCCTTAAAATTGTCAAGGTTGAGAAACACTGGTTTAGAGGGCAGAGGAAGAATTTATTTTAGCACTTAACTGGGACAAAGGTGAGGGAAGATCAACATCCACCCTTCCCAGTTTTTTTCTCTTTTGTTTTTTTATTGAAGAAACTAGCTGTACCCAGCCACGCGTTGCTGTGGCTCAGTCTGGGAAAAGCGTGTGTTGCTTTTACGTCCAACAGATGGTGCTGTTTTTTTTAAAAAGCATGTTTTTACCTGTCACAGGTGTGACATCTATATAATATAGGTATATAAAAACACGTGCGTATTCGAATGCAACGTTGTGTCAAAATTTCAAAGCAATCGGTGAAGAACTTTTGGAGATTTAAGATTTTGAACAAACGAACATTTACATTTTTATTTATATAGAATGTGGTTTTTTGAGGGAAGGGGGGGGTGTTAAGAAAGGGAAAGGTTTGGGAAGCTTGTCCCAAAACTGCCCTTTCAGCAAGGGCCCCCTTCGCAAAGCCTAGAGCAGGGGCAGGCAACCTTGGCTCTTTTATGACTGGTGGACTTCAACTCCCAGAATTCCTGAGCCAGCATGGCTCAGCTTGGAAAACTCTCCCTTTCCCCTCAGCATGGCTGGCTCAGGAATTCTGGGAGCTGAAGTCCACAAGTCATAAAAGAGCCAAGGTTGCCTACCGCTGGCCTAGAGGCAGGGGAGCTTTGCAGCATCCCCATGGACGGGTGGACTGCTGATTAGTGGGGAAAGCTCTCAAAAGCTGACGAACTGGTTCCTTTTTTGTCCCAGAAAGGCAGGGCACCTTGGGAGCAGGAAGGGCAGGGGTAGAATTAGGAAAGGCAGACATAATTGTTTCCCTTCCCCGCTGATTCTCACTGGCAAGACAGCTGTGCCACTGGCCGTGTATCTTGGGGTGGGGAAGGTCTGGAGCAGGTGGGCTCATGCTTCCATTGGACCTCTCTAGATCTCCTTCATTTCTAAAGACAGGTCAGAAATGAAATTCAAGACTTTTCTAGACTCATCGCTTTCTGCCTCATGTGGATTTTCTTGTGTGCAGTAAGGGAGGAATTTTGTGTGAAGCACCGTCCGCACTCTGGGCATTTGAAAGGTTTCTCCCCAATGTGTAAAGCTACGTGAATTACAAGTTTAGACTTAGTGGCGAAACCTTTCCCGCAATCAGGACACTCGTACGGTTTCTCTCCCGTGTGAGTCCTTTGGTGTATCACCATGTGGGAATTCCGACTGAAAGTTTTCCCACACTCCTGACACTCATACGGTTTCTCTCCTGTGTGAGACCTCTGATGTATCAGCAGGTGAGAATTACGACTAAAAGTTTTCCCACAATCCTGGCACTCATACGGTTTCTCTCCTGTGTGAATACTCTGGTGCACCACCAGGTGGGAATTGTTACTGAAACTTTTCCCACAATCTGGACACTCATAAGGTTTCTCTCCTGTGTGTCGCCTTTGGTGGTATACCAAAAGGCAATTCTGAGTGAAACTTTCCCCACAATCCTGACACTCAAATGGTTTCTTCTCAGAATGAGTCCTCTGGTGGACAACCAGGTGGGAATTAAGACGGAAACTTTTCCCACAATCAATACACTCGTACGGTTTCTCCCCCGTGTGAGTCCTTTGGTGTATCACTAAGGAGTAATTCCGAATGAAACTTTTCCCACAATATAGACACTCATATGGTTTCTCCCCTGTGTGAGTCCTTTCATGTATAACCAAGTAACAACTCTGACTGAAAGTTTTCCCACAATCTGGACACTCAAACGGTTTTTCCCCAGTGTGAGTTCTCTTGTGTGACACCAGGCTGGAACTCTGACTGAAAGTTTTCCCGCAGTCTGGACATTCATATGGTTTCTCTCCCGTGTGCGTCCTCTGGTGTCTCACCAGTTCAGAACTGTGAATAAAACTTTTTTGACAATCTGGACACTCATACGGTTTCTCCCCAGTATGAGTCCTGTGGTGTATCACGAGGTAGGAATTCCGACTGAAACTTTTCCCACAATCCGGACATTCATTCGATTTCTCTCCGGTGTGAATCCTCTGGTGTGCTGCCAGGTTGGAACTGTAACTGAAACGTTTCCCACAATATGGACATTCATACGGTTTCTCTCCTGTGTGAGTCCTCTGGTGTACCACCAGATGGGAATTCTGACTGAAATTTTTCCCACAGTCCAGACACTCATATAGATTCTCTCCTGTGTGTGTCCTCCGGTGGATTACTAGTTGGGAATTCCGACTGAAACTTTTCCCACAATCCAGACACTGATATGGTTTCTCCCCTGTGTGAGTCCTCTTGTGCGCCACCAGGTGTGAATTAGTACGGAACCTTTTCCCACAATCTGGACACTCATAAGGTTTCTCCCCGGTGTGAGTCCTCTGGTGTTTCACCAGGTGGGAATTGTAAGTAAAATGCTTCCCACAATCCATACACTCATATGGTTTTCCTCCTGTGTGTGTCTTATGGTGTATCATTAGGGGTGTGTTCTTGTGAAAACTCTTATCACATTCAGAGCACTGGTATGGATTCCCCTCGTTGTGGGTCCTATTATCCTCAAAAGGATGGGAGACGTAGCAAAATAGCTTTCCACACTCAGAACATTCATTCGGTTTCTCTCCGGTGTGCATCCCTTCGGGCGTAATCAGTTGTGATCTGCAGTCTATGCTTTTCTGATNGCGCCTGAAGGCAGGACGAGAAGCAACGGATGGAAACTGATCAAGGAGAGAAGCAACCTAGAACTAAGGAGAAACTTCCTGACAGTTAGAACAATTAACCAGTGGAACAACCTGCCTCCAGAAGCGGTGAATGCTCCAACACTGGAAGTTTTTAAGAAGAGACTGGACAGCCATTTGTCTGAAATGGTATAGGGTTTCCTGCCTGACCAGGGGGTTGAACTAGATGACCTCCAAGTCCCTTCCAACTTTATTATTATTAATGAATTAAAATATTTCGCAAAGGTGTGTGTGTGTGTAGTGGGGTAGATTTGTAGGATGCTTTTTCCTTATGCAGCTTACATGCTAACAGTCTTGTTTTCCCATCAGAAATGTTCAATAAGATGACCTCCAAGGTCCCTTCCAACTACTACTACTACTACTACTACTACTACTACTACTACTACTACTACTACTACTACTACTACTACTACTACTACTAATTATTATTATTATTATTATTATTATTATTATTATTATTATTATTATTATTCAATTTGTCCTTTGGACAATCAGTATGGGCAAGTAGATTGTGGAAGTGGTTTTTCCACTGTTTGGTGTGTGACCAACTAAGAAGCAGGGAAATCTCTCTTGCGATGTTGTAGCACAGTTCTAATGGGGCAATTAACTTAGACTTCCTCATTTCTTAACAGGGGTTTTTTGGTACTCATTTGTTATTTAAGAAAGGCTCTCTTTTGATACGAGCTATTTTTTTCTTGGAGATTTTAATATTTCCGGACTTATTTATTATTAACTTTTATTACAATTATTTTGGATGGTGGATTGGACTATCAGCAAAGAAAACAAAGTAAATTTTAAAGGATCTTTTTGTTGTTGCTGTTGGGAATTGAACTATATGCTTTTTTAAAGAAACCTTAATATTTTGTACGTATTTGCTCAAACTGTTTGGAATTATGGAATTTATTATTATTTTTTGCTTAATACTCTGAGGGAATGTTTATTTTTGCTGATCTTCCTTTATATGGATTGGATACTCTTTGCTTCAATTAGCTAACAGGTAGTCCTCAACTTATGATGGGTCACTTAGCAACAATTCAAAGTTACACCAGCCCTTTCCCCAGCTATTTATGAACTAGTTTCAAAGTTATGGCCGCCGCACCATCCCCATAGTCATTTGGTTGTACAAATTTCAGAATAATAAAGTCGGATGGGACCTTGTAGGTCAGTGGCAGCGAACCTATGGCATGCGTGTCAGAAGGGGCACTCAGAGCCCTCTCTGTGGGCACGCGCACCATCGCCCTAGCCCCGCCTCCCCGCACGGCCCCCTCACCAGCAGCCCCCCGGAGGAGAGTTGCCCCTGGGTGCAGCCCGCATAGAGCAGCGCAGGCAAGGACATGGCAGCCGGGCAGCAGGGACAAGACTCTGCCTTCATGCCCATCGTGCGCAGTTGATGCTACGGGGCGCGGGTGGAGGACGTGGCTGCCATGGCGCTGCTGGGGCGCCTGGGCGATCTGCTGTGGTGAGCTGTGGAGGCAGTGGGTGACCCTGTGGATGGGCGGGGTGGGGTTTGGGGCACTCGGTTTCTAAAAGGTTCACCATCACTGTTGTAGGTCATCAACCCCCTGATCAAGCAGGAGACCCTATACTATTTCTCACAAGTGGCTGTCCAGTCTCTTCTTTAAAGTTTCCAGTAATGAAGCACCTGCAATTTCTGAAAGCAAGCTGTTTCATTGGTTGATTGTTCTCACTGTCAAAAAATTTCTCCTTATTTCTAGTTTGAATCTCTCCTTGATTAGTTTCCATCCATTGTTTCTTGTCTGGCCTTTGGGCATTTTGGAAGAGTTGATTCCCTTCTCTCTGTGACAGCCCCTCACATATTGGAAGACTGCTATCATGTCACCCCTGGTCTTCTCTTCACTAAACTAGCCGTGCCCAGTTCTTACACCATTCATAGCCCCCAGCTCTCTAATCATCTTTGTTGCTCTTCTCTGAACTCTTTCTAGAGCCTCAACATCTTTTTTACAGTGTGGCAGGGCTACTGCGGTCCCCACCCATCCATCCTGCCCTGCCATGTTCCCGCAGCCACTCATCCATCCAAGGAAGATTATGCTATTGGTATTGGGCCAGTTGTACCATACAAATGGGGTGGAGCTTGCAAGTCTCCAGTCAGCAAGAGGAGATCAAATCTCATGAACATGTCTCTCTTTTTAAGGAGGCTCTATAAACTGCAGAAACAAATGGAGCCTCATTAAAAAAAAAAAGGCAGCCCTCTACAGCAGTGGTTCTCAACCTGTGGGTCGGGACCCCATTTGGGGTCGATCGACCATTTCATGGGGGTCGCCAAGCAAGACTGTCCGCCATTTTTTTCCCCTTTTCCGGCGGGTGCCTTACCTCCCTTGAGCTGGGCCAGCTGGTGGTTGGCCTGCTCCGTCTCTGCCGCTTGCCAGCTACGCCTCGGCCGGTGCAGGGGGCGGAACCACACATGTGCGGCGCTCCCGGGCAGGGAAAGTCCTCGACTTACGACCGGTTGGGTAGTCCTCGACTTACGACTGGTTTAGTCCTTGACTTACGACCAGTTTAGTCCTCGACTTACGACCGGTTGGGGTCGCGGCATTAAAAAGGTTGAGAACCACTGCTCTACAGTTTCGTGAGAACGTCACCTGTTTCAGAATAGCATGAGTTTGCCAGAAGGCTGGCTCTGTCAGGAAGCTGATCCTATAATGGGTCAGGCACCTCCTCTAGGAAGCTGCAAAAGCAGACACCTACGTTGGATGGTTCTGAGTAATGAAGCACACTAACTCCTGCAAGTCCCTGGGTGGGAAGGCAACTAAAGGCTTGCAGGACACAGCCTGGTCTCCCCTTGCTCGGTGGAGACTTGCAAACTCCAGGTGGCTTGATCTCCCCAAGATCACTGGGTGGGAATGAAGATAAATGATTGCAGGAGCCCCAAGGGGAGAGGAGTATGGAGTGCCTCAAGAGTGGGAGTAACCTTAGGAGGCCTAGGGCAAGCCAGCCTGATACTACGCTAGGCATCCCAGGGCCGCCCCATCTAAGGCCACCCTTAATGATCCCATTTGTTAAACGGCTACATCAGGGAGAACAAAGGGGGGGGGAAAGGTGTTTAGGGGCGCTGCCTCATTTAACGGCCATCAGCAATGTGCTGCAACTGCCAACCCCACCCCCCCCAATGTTGTCCTAGGTTGCATCAAAGGAGAGATAACATCAAGGTGACATGCAGTGACAGTGCCGCTTTATAGAGCTTTGATAAGACCACACTTAGAATACTGTGCCGAGTTTTGGTCACTATGATAAAAAACAATGCTGAAACTCTAGAAAGAATGCAGAGAAGAGAAACAAACATGATTGGGTATGTCTAGTTTAATGAAGAGAAGGATGAAGGGGGACATGATAGCAGTGCTCCAATATCTCAGGGGCTGCCACAAAGAAGAGGGAGTCAAGCTATTCTCCAAAGCGCTTGAAGGCAGGACAAGAAGCAAAGGGTGAAAACTGATCAAGGAGAGAAGCAACCTAGAACTAAGGAGAAACTTCCTGACAGTTAGAACAATTAACCAGTGGAACAACCTGCCTCCAGAAGCGGTGAATGCTCCAACACTGGACGTTTTTAAGAAGAGACTGGACAGCCATTTGCCCGAAATGGTATAGGGTTTCCTACCTGAGCAGGGGGTTGGAGTAGATGACCTCCAAGGTCCCTTCCACCACCACCACCACCACCAGATGACCTCCAAGGTCCCTTCCACCACCACCACCACCACCATCATCATCATTAGAGGGCTGGAGGCTAAAATATGATGAATGGTTGCAGGAAATGAGTATGTCTAGTTTGATGAAAAGAAGGACTAGAGGTGACATGATAGCAGTGTTCCAAAACCTGAGAGGTTGCCACAAAGAAGAGGGGATCAACCATTCTCCAAAGTACCTGAAGGCAGGACAAGAAATAATGGATGGAAAATAATCAAGGAGAGATCTAACCTAGAAAGAAAGAAAAATTTCCTGGCAGTGAGAAAAATTAACCAGTGAAACGGCTTGCCTCCAAAAGTTGTGGGTGCTCCATCTCTGGAGGTTTTTAAAAAGAGACTGGACAGCCATTTGTCTAGTATAGGGTCTCCTGCTTGAGCCAGGGGGATGGACCAGACAGAAGACCTCCAAGGTCTCTTCCAACTCTATTCTGTTAATCAGCTGGTAGATATGTGGCTATGGAAACTGTGACCCAAAGGATTAAATCTATCATTATTGGACTTTGTGTGTCACATGATGAAAAAGAGTGTTATCTTTTTTTTAATATCAGAATTAGCATACGTTTTTAATATCAGAATTAGCATATGTTGGAGGATTAGAATGGTATAACAATTTCTTAGACATTTATCTAAGAAATCAAGCCAAACCAGGGCAATTTCCAAATCTATCTTTGGGTTGACGAAGAATTTGGCACTGATAGATTCTCGAAGACACAAAACTAACTCTGAAAGTGAAAATACACTCTTCTGAGAAAAGCATAAATCATTTTCAAGAATCGCTAGAATATGGCTTTCAAAGAACTTAGCTAATAGGATAGCCAAAGCGGATATCTTACCAATGATATTGGTATGTTTTGATAATAGAAATATTGTGCACTGCTGGGAGTTTAACAGATATACATTTTTAGGTTTATATATTTGTCTAATTTTAAAGTAGAGGATGTTTTACTACAGAATTTTTACTGTAGAAGAATCTAGTAATATGTGTATTTTTGAATTGATAATATGATGCATTTATGGGCTATGTTTTATCTAGATATGTCTAAACATCTATTCATTGTTTTAAAGAAATGTTTTATTTACACGTTTTCTCAATTGATAATGTGATGCATTTATGGGCTATATATTTTATTTAGATTGAGATGTATTTTCCTTTTGTTATCTGATTAGTATATATATCTTTGCTTTTAGCTTTATTTTATTGTGTTATCGAAAGCAAAAGTGTACTTTTAT